TTGTCTAAATATGTTTGCAAAGATTTGGTATCTGCTAATTTAAAAATGTAAGGAGCAATTTTTTCACCTTGTTCCTTCTTCAAAATACTTCTAATGGTACAGTAATTCTTGGGTTCCATAGTAGACCTAATGTAAATCAGCTTCATATTAACTATTTTAATATAGAGGTAATTTTATATATCTCTTAATATTAAGAAAAAAACAAATATAACAAATGAGAGATTTTAATAATCACATTACTAATTTTGATCCCTGAAATCATTGGTAATACCAATGTTCACTTTGTCTGATTTTGTTGCAGAATGCCCCATATATTACTTTTAGGAGTTTGTTGAAAAATCTGCAACATAATACCATTCAATTGTCAAGAAAAATACTCAAGTAAAATCTCCTAAGCTGAAAATGACTAGAGAAATGTTACATAATCCAATGAAAATTCCTAGCTGTTGAAATATTTAGTTGCAGATTATATATAGTAATTGATTGCCTTATTATAATTAATAAAATGATACACATTAAAATATTTTAAACATACCTTTGGTTAAAGACACTTACCATAAATGATTGAGCTAGTAACCACCATTGCTGCAAATAACAATTATGGAAGGTGTTTCTACTTTTGGTATTGTTTCATAAATATTAGTATCTTAATCTAGCAATTTATTTTCATCCTGTCAGGATGTTTTTCTGATGAGATGTTTAATTAAATACAAGATAAAATAATTTGTACATATTAAAATTTACATAAACTCTATTTTAGTGATCAATAATTTCTTTTCAAATTCATTTGAACCTTGAAATCCTTGTAATCCTTGTAATACAAATGTTCACTTTGTCTGGTTTTGTTGCAGCATGCCCATATATCCACATTCATTCATGGATGGAAGATACCCTATTAATCCAAATAAGTATATTCCATCTCTTTTCCATTTAAGAGCATAGATATTTAACTCAAGTCTATATTAAAATTACATAATATAAAGTTATCAAATACTAGATAATAATATTTGTATATAAATAATTCTACCATGTAAATTCCAACCATATAAAACCGCCTGAGTATCATTTATTTTAAAAAAATAAGTAATTTTTTCTCCCTGTTCTTTCTTCAAAATATTTCTAATGAGCTATAATTTTTGGATTTTTGGTTCCAAAGTAGATCTAATGTAAATTAGTTTCATATTATTTTTTTCTAAGCAAAAAAGCAAATATCATGCATGATCACAACACATTGGGTAATTCTTGGTAATACAATGTTCACTGGTTTTTGTTGCAGCATGCCACATATGAGACCATATATAGTTGAATGACCACCCCAATGCACCATTGGGAGTTGGAGATCAAAATTAAAGTATGTAAGGGATTTTTATACAGATTCTTTTTTGTCAAGTTGCAGGCTTTCATTTGATGCTATTTTTAATTTATCTTATTTTAAACCATTTTTTGATAATCAAGCCCAATTTTTTAATATAAAATATAGGTTAGATCACTTTTCTATCAATGGATGTTTATTTGGTAATAACGGAGGAGGCAGAGTTCGAATCTTGTATATAAAATTATTTTTGTTGAGATCTGCATAAAATATTTCTTTTGTTTAACGAACGTTACTGCACGTCCCCATTATATAGTTGCATAATGATTACATATTATTTAAAATCTGATAAATGAACGATATGCATATTTAGTATTAATATGTTTAAAAAAAATCTGATAAATATTTTTGTACAATCTGATAAAATATAAAATACAAAAAAAAAATGACATATATGTATGTGTGATTTTTTAATAATGTATAAATATGCATATTATTATATCATTATCAATGGACAAAGAAATTAAAATTTATAATATCATTTATACTTGTAATATAACATATACATACATCATGTGTATATATATATGTATGTGTAATCTTCTCATATATATGTAAAATTCGGGTAAAAAAAACTATAAAATATTTTTTTTTTTCAAAAAAAAAAAAACTCCCTAATTCATAAAATAATAAAAATAAAAATGACTTCACCAAAACATCCACTTTTACCACCATCATCGAGATCAAATTCTCCTTTATCATCATCGTCACGAAGTCAATCACCATCATCTCTTACTACTGGATATCAAGCGGTGTTTGATAATGATAATTCGTTACCAATAATAATCTCTAAAAATGATGATTATGATAGTGATGATGGAAATATCTACAATAACAGTAACAAAAAAAACCCCAATAATAATAAATTCTTTAAAAGTAATAACAAAGGTGGTAAATATCAACCTATAGTCAACATAAATGATGAAGAGGAAAGGGGAGAAGGAGATGAGCAAATTCCAAATGATAAAAAAGATATAGAATTATCACAAAATGGTGAAATGGGTGGTGGTGAAGTTACTGAACTGGAAAAACCTTGGAAATATAAGATGATGGCTTTATTATGTGCTTTATCTTTAGCCGGTAATGTAACATTGACTTTTTGATAATAATAATTATGATAACGATGACGTTAGTTATAACAATAATATTAATTATTATTATTATTATTATAAAAACAATGTTTTTTTCAAATCAGCTGGAAGTCATTATGCAGCTCACACATTAGGTGCTTTAAAATCCACTATTAAAAAGGTTTGACTAATTATTATTATTATTATTATTAAAAGCATTCACTCGTATTTGCATAGATATGTGCGCTTGTAAGAAATTTCATTTTTAATTCATATATTATTATTATAGGAACTGGGAATAACAAATTCAGAATATGGAATCATTCAATCATCAGTTTCACTAGTTAACACAATTTTACCATTTCTTGGTGGTGTGTTTATTGATACATTTGGTACATCACTAGGATCAATTCTAGCTACATCTTTAATAGCAGCCGGTAATATTTTAGTAGCCTTATCAACCCATTTAATTTCATTTCATGTGATGGTTTTGGGAAGAATCATGTATGGAATTGGAAGTGGTACAATTGTTACGATACAAACTGCTATTCTAAGTCACTGGTTCAAAGGAAAAGGGTTGGCCATTGCTGTTGGTGTTCAAATTGCTGCTGCTAGATTAGTAAGTTCTTTATTGTCGTGTGATGGAAAGAAAGAAAGAAAAGAAAAAAAACTAATAAATTTTTATTCATTTATTTTTTTCCTGGGGAAATAAAAGTCAGCATTTTTAGCCAATTTAACAGTTATTCCAATCACCAGAGTTACTGGGTTTTATGGATATGCATTTTGGGTAACAACAAGAATTTTTTTACATTAATTTTTTTAAAATTTTTGTAAATAAATAGTAATATATACGTTTTTTTTTTTAGTTTGCTTCTTTCCTTTGTTTGACTTCTTTTACAATTAATCTGATATATGTCACTGTAAACCGAATCATTCGCGACCAATTAAGTGCCAATGAAATAAGAAAACTTAAACAAAAACGAACATTCAACTATCACAATTTACTATATTTTCCTACGCTATATTGGATTTTTGTTTTATTGGAATTTGGTTTAGGCAGTGCTTGGACTTCATTTTTACATATTCATACGTAAGTGATTATACAATACTGCTAGATACTTATATTATTAATTAATAAATGATATTTTAATAAAACATCTATTTACATGTGTGTGTGTGTGTGTTTTTAGTGAATTGGTGAAAAAAAGATGGAATAGCAGTGATGAAATTGCAGCATATAATTCAAGTGTGGCTCAATTTCTACCGATATTTGTTTCGCCTTTCCTTGGCTATTTATTAGATAGATTTGGTAAAAGATCTATAGCATGTAAGTTTTTTTATCTCTTTTTATATAGATATATTTATGTTTAATTAATTTTAACGAATTATATTTATATATATATATAAAACAGTAATAGTATCAGCAGTATTTCTTAATTTATCAATGTACCTGCTTGGATTTACATCAGCAATATCGCCAATCATAGGAATGGTATTCTTTTCAATTTCATTATCGCTAGGTCCCGTCTCCCTCCTCTCCTCCATCCCGATCATTCTCCCACTGGATTATATAGGCACAGCATTGGGTATAGTAAAATCAACATCAAATATTGGTGCAACCATTTATGATATTTGTGTTGGTTTGTTACAAGATTTAAATAATGAAGATGGTAAGGATGGAGAAGGCGGTGAGAATGAATATGATTTAGTGATGCATTTGTATGTTTTTACAAGTTTTGTTACTATATTGGTTGCAGTGTTATTGTCAATTGTTTCTAAAAAATATTATGATGGTGTTTTGGATATGAAAGATGACGAAAGAAAGGACTATTATGAAATGAAAAAAGCAAGTAATGGCAAGAATAGCAATAATGATGGTGGTAGTAGTACTAATTATAGTAAAAAACCTCCAAAAAGAAACTATATTTTTATTGGACTTTTTGTTTCTGCAATGATATTAAGTTGGATATTGTTTTTTAAGTT